GCTGGGAGGGGTCGCTGGCGCAGGGGGTGCAGAGCTCGGCTGGGGCTGAGCCGCCGGCTGCAGTGGAGAGCGTCTTCTGCGGGTCCGGCTCCGTCCTTTTCACCTGTGCTGCCCATTCGCTGTCTGGGTATCCCCCTCGCTTTGGGAGGCATAAGCACACCAGATATTGGGTAAACCAGGGTCTTCCCCAGGCATAATCACACCAGACTGGGGGTAAACCAGGGTCTTCAGGATTTGTTCTCCAGAACAAATATTCCCAGTTATGCAGCATTTCACCTGTGCTGCCCATTCGCTGTCTGGGTATCCCCCTCGCTTTGGGAGGCATAAGCACACCAGATATTGGGTAAACCAGGGTCTTCCCCAGGCATAATCACACCAGACTGGGGGTAAACCAGGGTCTTCAGGATTTGTTCTCCAGAACAAATATTCCCAGTTATGCAGCATCTCTGAACACCACGCTTCCCCTCCCCTGGCTGGGGAGAGTTGCCTGTGATGTGAAAACCATCAGGGTCTGTGTTCACTCTAGTGCTGGAGAACCCTCCCTTGACCAACACACCTCTTGGGCAGAGATGTTAAGCAGACGCTCAGCCTGGTTCCTTGGCTTCACTCTGACCCTCCAGACAGAGCCACCACTCTTCCAGACGTTAGCTCACAGGGCAAACGGCCGTTTTTCTCCATTAAATTCACCACATTACTCCGGGATATGACCTTGAGATTTGTCTGCTGAGGAGGTTTCTTGGGGTTCTCTTTCTCTATCTGCCCCTGGGCTACCATTAGCCTCCCCAAAGGACATGGAGGCACAGCAGCTAGTGGCCAACATCTGGAGGACAGTCCAGCTCCATGGCTGAAAGGGATTGAGTTTCACTCCTGGACCATGTATCTCCCATTCCAGGGCCAGAGGGGTGAGGTGGCCAGAACAGCACATTGCTCCCCAGAGCTGCGACTTCGGACTTTTTGGAAAAAACAAAGGGGTTGCAGATAGCGACAGGGTGTTGCTTTGTAACTGCATGGGACAGATGCCATCAGCCAGCCCACTGTATGCCAGCCAAGAAGAGAGCAGGCTGAGCACTGCAGAAGAAAAATCACCAAGAGATATTTTTACATCAGCCATTTCTAGGGTATTGCCACATCCCACCTCTGTGCTTGCTTGCAACGTGAGTTGAAGCAGAATTTTTTTTCCCCAATGCAAATTTTCTCACTGGCATCTCTGAAGTGCAAGTTGCCATGGAAACCATTTTGTCTGTGTCCCACGTTGCCCACATGCACTCGGAAGAAGCTGCAGAAGCAAAATGGCTGTTGTGTAATTCCGCAGGGTCTCAGCATACGAGGAGCTGCTGTGCTACACAGCACCCTTCCAGCTATGAGTCCCTCTCAGAGAAGCTGTGGACAATTGCTTGGGAAAGCAATGAAACCGGTTATGACACATCATGACACATCATGGCGGTTATGATGTGGTCCGTGAGAGAAGGAAAATGGCCCCACCTCGTCTTAACTCTTGCAGTGCTTTGCGTGGAGCTCCACACCCATCCTGCTGTGCCCTAAGCACAGACTTCCAGGCACGCTTTAGCCTTTTCAGTGTCACTGTGTCATTCCCACTCCTCCACAGAGGGAGATGAAGGCCTTGAGGTGCTCATGTGGTGTGGCTCTGTCCACCCCGAGGGGCCCAAGCGCTGTCTTGGAGGGACAAAGGGTGCAAGTTAAAGAGAGTTGCATCCATACGCTTGGACTGCACACATTTGACTTCATCCCGTCCTCTGCCTACCAGGTACATTTGCAGTAGGTTGTTTGGGAAGAAACTGTTTTGGAGTGGGCTATACAGACCTGGACCCTGGTGGCAGTAGAATAATAAAGGCAAGACCTGGCCACAGCAGGGGACTTAGCAGAGAAAACAAAGGAAAAAGGCAGGCTTTGAAATATTATTTGGCTTGCTCACATTGGAGTGCGAAAGGTCTTTCCTCCTTCTTATCTGCAGTTCCTCATAGGGAGAAAAAGCAGTACCGTTACTGAGCCCCTCCTGTGTCACCCATGAATCCCGGATGATCATACTCAGGAGTCAGGGTCTTCCCTCTGTGCTTCCATTCATTTTTTGTCTCCAGAGACTCTTGTTCCCAGCCATGTTGCAGAGATCTGAGAAACGCCTGCTTCCCTCTCAGGTCATGCCTCCCGCTGGGCCGTGTTGTCCTGGCATCAGGAACAGCCCAGATCACAATCTCCAGCATCCAGGCTCAGCCAGCACAGACGTTGTCACCACACGACTTCCACTCTTGCTGTGTCCTCAGGCTCTTTGATCATCTGAAGGCAATGGGTGCATGCCGGTTTTTCCCAGGGTGGAAGCTGTGTAAACGGCAAGTACAACCGCATCCACCAAGCTGATCCTTGTGAGGACTCTGTAGAGAGCAAAGGTCTGTGCTTTTCCTGTCACTGCCTCCTGGCATTTCACGGCAACCTTCTTAGCCATGGTTTGGCACAGGAACTTAACACAGTTGCCTGTTAGCAATTAACATGTGCGTAGTGTGATCCCGCTCTTTATGTCTGGCACCTTCTGGATGCAGGGGAGTTGGACAAGAGCATGGGACTGATGTTTGCGTGGTGTCCCGTTGCCTGTAAATGGTGTAATTCCTCCAGTGGCCAGAGTAAGTCAGCATAAAACCTAGAGACTTCAGGGGAGCAGCACTGAACCCAGCTAGAAATTTCGTCTGCCTTGGGGTAAGGCATCAGTCCCAGTGGTGGAAAAGATAATATGGAATTTCATAAAAGAGGAAATCAAGCACTAGGAACATGTGATTTGTGCCAGTCATCATGGAGCTGCCAAACAAATGAAATTTCTCTTCTGAGAAAGTTAAAATTTAATTGATAGCAGTAACCACACAGCTATAACACAGGCTATGGAAATGCATTTTATGTACAGCTGCAAGAGGTAAGAGTGGTTAATCTAAGGTATAAAACTAAGTAAAGTACATACTGA